AGGGGGACTGGTGGGAAATGAAAAAATAAATAAACGTGTAAAAATAAATTAAATATATTTATATATATATATATATATATATATATATATATATATATATATATAATATATGTATATATATTATATATATAATATATATACATATTATATATATGTAACGTCATACGTAATGTATTTTAATACTAATATTAGTATATATATTAGTATTAAAATACACTTAGAATGACGTTACATATATATAATATGTATATATATTATATATATAATAGATATATACACATATATTATATATATATATACGTATAATTACATTAATAAATAAATAAAATAATAAAATAAATAAATAAAATATTGAAACAAAATTTTATTAAAATTATATATTCATATGTAATTTCATTCTAACTGTATTTTGTTATTAATATATATATATATATATATATATATATATATTGGTAACAAAATACACTTAGAATGACATTCTATAAATATCTTTCTATATATAAAATACAAATAACCGCAAATATATATAGATAAATACATATAATTACATAAAAGATTACATTAGTATACACGTAGAATTTAAATACCGATAAATGCATATATATTAAAATTCTACGTGTATATTTAAGTAATCTTTTAACATAATTATGTGATTTGATTAATTAAAATTTGATTGACATGCCTGACAACACAGGGAGAAAGTGCAGAGAATTTAATTCGCAAGCACTATATTTGACCCTGTAACTCTCCAAGACACCACAAAACCTGTACATAGGGGGTACTGTTTTACTCGGGAGACTTCGCTAAACTCAAATATTAGTGTTTCAAACTGGTAAATTGTATTACAATGATGATATTTTAAGTAAAAGTGACGTTTTTTGAATTTTTTACAAACAAACGGCACTTTTATGGACTATATTATTGTTGTAGTATGTTTTACTGTTCTAAAACAATAATATTTTTGTTAAGTGAAGTCTCCCGAGAATAACAATAACCCCATGTACAGGTTTTATTGTGTTTTGGAAAGTTAGAGAGTCACATATAAGGCTTGCATTTCATTTTTTTGACATTGAAATTTGCCAGATTGGTTATGTTGCCTTTGAGAGCATATGGTAGCCCAGGAATAAGAATTACCCCCATGATGGCATACCATTTGCAAAAGTAGACAACCCAAGGTATTGCAAATGGGGTATGTCTAGTCATTTTTAGTAGCCACTTAGTCACAAACACTGGCCAAATATTAGTTTTTTGCTTTTTTCACACAAAAACAAATATGAACGCTAACTTTGGCCAGTGTTTGTGACTAAGTAGCTACTAAAAAAGACTAAACATACCCCACGTTCAATACATTGGGTTGTCTACTTTTTCAAATGGTATGCCATTATGGGGGTAATTCTCATTCCTGGGCTACCACACCGTCTCAAAGGTAACATTACTAATCTGGCAAATTTCAATTTGAAAATGGAACGTTCTATATTTGACCCTGTAACTTTCCAAAACACCATAAAACCTGTTAATGTGGGGTACTGTTGTACTCGTGAGACATCACTGATTACAAATATGTGCATTTTTTGCAGTAATACCTAACAGTATTATGACATTAACAGCTAAAATATCAGACGGAAATAAAATTTTTTTTAAAAAATCTTATTTTCTAAAAACAAATTACATTTTATTCATAATAAATGATGTTCAATATATGAATAATTAATGATAAATTAAAGCCCTGTTTCTCCTGAACAAAATGATATATAAGTGTGGGTGCACTTAATGTGACAGCAGTGAATTATGGGTGAACAGACATATAGCGCAAATTCCAGTTTTTGTTTACGTTTTGTTTTGATCAGAACGTGTACTATTGATTCCGTCCTGAAGGGGTTAAGGACACATACTGAGAGTATTATTGCTGTGGAGCTCTCTGTTATGCACTCAGACATACCAACATCATGGAGCTCCTAGAAAAGAGGGACAGAGGGATAGAAAAAAGAGACAGAGGGATTTGGGCCCAAAAATGGAATTGTCCCTCCTAAACAGGGATGGATGGGTCATGCTGTGGGTAAAGTATTGTTACCACTAGTCTTGCATATCCCCCTAGAACACTGTATGCGCTAACAATTACTCCCACCCACTAATAATCTTGTGTTCTGCCTTAGGGAGCTGGTGGGATGTCCAGGTTATATATTTAAATAATTTTTACTCAAGCTTATCTAAAGCTTTAAAAATGGCTAATCTTGCAGTTACAACAATCTCAGGTAATTTCCCTTGTACACCAGAACAAGCGGAGAGCTTTTAAATTGCATCATCATAGCTGTCCATAAACATAAGATAATATCTAATTAGCTGCATCGTAAGCAGAATCTTTTAATATTCTTTATTAATAAACTGTGAGCTCTGTAAAACAGAGCAAAAATGTTAAAGAGCTGACGGGGGGATATATAGCAGCTCACATGGTCCTAGGCTGCAGGGGCTGGAGCACAGACACACAGAGTAAAACATGAGATTGCTGCAGATTATCAACCCACAGAAAAGCACAATGATGACTCATTCTGTGAGAGTTTGTTAGTCCCCATCTGAAGAATGTTGGATGAGATTGGAGGGGGGCGAGAAATGCTCTCTTTTCTGGAGCTCTCTGGGTTAATTAGCTCCTATTTTTATAGCATTACCCAGAGAGCACCAATTACAGAATATTCAAATAATGCTTGCGTATCCTCATCTTCTGCCTTTTGGAAAAGGCATATTTTAAAAATAATAATTAAAACTCCATAATTTTTCCAGTTTGAAGAAAAAACTAAACCAACACATATATTCGGCATCAAGCTAGTATGAGAAGAAAGTCAAGAACAGTTGATGTACGTACAATTTAATATAATAAATATATTCTATATGTATGCAAAGAAACATGGCCGATACAAGCTAGGTTATGTACTCTCATACTGAACTTTAGTTAGGTGTTTAAGGTACATAACTGCATAGGGTGTATGACAATTACAAAGCTGAATTGCAGAAGTTCTTTTTATCTGTCATTATCATAACACAATTAAAGGGGTACTCTAAGCACCAAAACAACTTTAGCATATTGAAGCAGTTTTGGTGTATAGATCATGCCCTGCAGTCTCTCTGCTCAATTCTCTGCCATTTATGGGTTCAATTACACCTTCCCTGTCTGTGACTCACACAGATGCAGAGCGTGAGGACGTCCAGCGTCAGGCAACCTAAAGTTCTGTAAAATCCCAGATTGCTTCTAGAGGCTGTCTGGTGAACAGTCACTAAAAGCTGTCTTAGTGCTGTAATGTAAAAATTAGAGTTGTCTAAAGCTGCAATGTTTTACATTGTAGGACTAAGGGGGCAATGAGATAAAGTGGTCTGGGTGCCTATAGTGTCCTTTTAAAGACCTTTTTTATGCCTATTTGCTTTTGGCCTAAGATGTCTAAATCTACATTCTGTTCTCATTAATGCATGTTTTATTGAATATACCTTAACAGTATATGTGTATATTTGCTTTATCTTGTGAATTGTAATGTTTGTACTATGCTGCTTGGGTAACCAGGTCATTCTTCCCTGACTGACTAATGCTTCATTTCACTGCAGTAAAACTAATAGTTCATAACACAGGTATGAGTTACATTGTCTAAAATAAACTGAACATATCTCCTCCATATGGGGTGAGTTCTGATGTGACCTATGCCTTCCATTGCTGCTGATCAGCAAGTCTTGGTGGGTCTTCTCTAATTTGAATTTCTGCCTGACAATTAAATGGAACTGCGTAATAATCTTGTTGTCTTTACTTCAAACTGGGTTAATGTCTGCAGATTAGTAGATGTCTACTATAAATGGGATAACTTGCTTGTGACACAGCCTCTTCTCTATGATGAAATACAAATGAAGACAAGATTGGGACTTTCTGCTTTAAAAAAATAATTATACCTTTTGGACAAGAGGAAGCAACTCGCACACAGAGCTGGGATCAAGGGGCAGCTGTAAAACTCTGCTCGGCTACCATTAGTGGGTCTCGCCTACTGCGCTGGGCACAGTGTGTCCTGCTTGTTTTAGTGTATAGTCTGTACTAGTAGCGTGTTTTTCTGTGTGAGAGCATTGAATTGGGCCAGTAAATGTGGTAACAAGTTGCGGGGCGGATATTCTGGTTTGGGCATAATTAAATAAGTGCTCTGTATTTCTATAACTTCGCTGATCCTCTCCGAATCATTAAGAAATTGTAAATTCATGCTGTGCCCAGTAGCTATTCTCTCAACCTTAAAACTGTGACATCAAGTGAAAATGCTTTTGACTTGATAAAAGGAAGTTTTCTTCTCCAAATGTTGACTTGTAAATGGATTGTTGGTCGAGTAAATAAGGTTTTATTATGTGATGCAGTGCTCCATTATTTTGCTTGCTTCGCACGGCTCCTTGGAGCTCCATGTGACAATGCATGTTTGCCTTGGGTAGTGAGTAGCGGACTGCTGATGCATTGACTGACGATGAGATTGTAACGTCAGGTTTGCATTTTACTGAATAATTAGCTGCTCCACACTAGCAGTGAAATGTGGGCTTCTGCAGAAATCTTTTCCTGGTAGCAAAGCAAATATCAAATTATTTCATTTCACTGTCATTTTCTCTCTCTCCCTTTCATTTAATTCCCATCACAACTGACGGCTAAGTTTTTTTTTATCACATTGTTACAGGATTTGCAGGAATAAGATGTAACCGAGTAAACTTGCAGAAGCCAGACACAGAGAGATGGATGCAGGTTTTCAGGAAGTAAGAGGTCTTTATTAACATACCGATCAGGTCTCAGATGAACTAACGTTCCAAAACAGGTCTGAGGGCCGAACACATGGAGTACATGCTTTTTATAGAACTATAACTCCTCCCATTAATAGCTTCACCCGCACATACCCTTAACAAATCAGTGGACAGGATTTTGTTTTCCTCATATGGGCAGAACACATGGCTCATCATAAACAAATGAGAAAGGAGTGTGATTTCAGTTCCTGCACATGCTCAGTACATTGATGACAGTATCTTAGTTACGTGTGACTAACTAACTGATACAACATACACATATGCCACGTGGAAATCTCAGCCTACTAAATTTACATTTCACCGAAATTCCATCACAATGTAACATTCATTCCTGAGAATGAGCCATACACCTATGGTCTATGGGCATTGCATAGGCTTTGCATAACGTTAAAGGGACACTATAGTCACCTGAACAACTTTAGCTTATTGAAGCAGTTTTGGTGTATAGAACATGCCCCTGCAGCCTCACTGCTCAATCCTCTGCCATTTAGGCGTTAAATCCCTTTGTTTATGAACCCTAGTCACACCTCCCTGCATGTGACTTGCACAGCCTTCCATAAACACTTCCTGTAAAGAGAGCCCTATTTAGGCTTTCTTTATTGCAAGTTCTGTTTAATTAAGATTTTCTTATCCCCTGCTATGTTAATAGCTTGCTAGACCCTGCAAGAGCCTCCTGTATGTGATTAAAGTTCAATTTAGAGATTGAGATACAATTATTTAAGGTAAATTACTTCTGTTTGAAAGTGAAACCAATTTTTTTTTTTTTTTTTTTATGCAGGCTCTGTCAATCATAGCCAGGGGAGGTGTGGCTAGGGCTGCATAAACAGAAACAAAGTGATTTAACTCCTAAATTACAGTGAATTGAGCAGTGAAATTGCAGGGGAATGATCTATACACTAAAACTGCTTTATTTAGCTAAAGTAATTTAGGTGACTATAGTGTTCCTTTAATAGAACCTTATTCCTTATATCCCCCACAACTACTTCTCCTTTCTGTGTTTTTACCTGGGTTTTAGTTCCAGCTTGTTTTGAGAAGCATTGAATTGCATGTTCTAGGAGAGAAGGCTGTTATTGTGGTAAAGTTCTCTATGCTCATACAGCACATATATGTTTCATTGTGGGGATGCATGCAAGAAAAATTTACATTTTTCAATGTTAAATTGTGTAAAACAATAATTCACACATTACTGTACATGATATAGTTATACATTCATACACACTGCACATTGCGGTGAGTTTTATTACTGTGGAGCTCTGTGATATATTCATACACTACATTACTGAGTTTTATTACTGTGGAGCTCAGTGATATGCCCATGCACACTGCACATTATTAGGAGTTTTATAGCTGTGAAGCTCTGTTATATTGTGATATAATCATACACTACATTACGGTGAGTTTTATAGCTGTGGAGCTCAGTGATACTCATACACACTGCACATTACTGTGAGTTTTATTGCTGTGGAGCTCTGTGATCTACTCATACCCTGCACATTGCTGTGAGTTGTATTCCTGGGGAGTTCTGTGATATGTTCACCCACTGCACATTACAGTGTGTGTTATAGCTGTTGATATCAGACTCATACACACTGCAGTGGAGTTCTGTGATACAGTCATACACACTAGATATTGACTGATTATCGGCTGGCATTCTGCATTTTCAGGAATATCGTTATTGGCTGAGTACATCCGTAAAGAATCTCCCAAATCCCAAGCGCAGTAGTGCGTATAAGTGTGAATGTAACTCCCAATACCCAATTTGTTCGTATGGTTCATACCTACTGAACAGCGTTCTCTTGACACATGTGGGAAAGAGCAGGCGTTCGTCAAAATTCAGCGGTGTTCAGGAATTTCCATGTCCGATTTTAGTTCCAATGGATCTACGCCCAAACACAGCTGCCTGCATTCCTGCAAACAAAATGGCTGCCAACACAGTTCCCACGTGTTCGTGAATACGAACGGTGGCCACCTAGCCGCACAATTAGAACACATGATAACTAATGTATCAGGAGAGGTTACCAGGGATTAACAAGCCTAGATGTGGTCCATAGTTTGTGAGTTTGTTCGGTTGCCAAACAGTACAAATAAATCCCACAAACCAAGTCTTTTTACCAGCCTTTTCTATGGCCCATAGACAGTGCGCAGGAGGCTAGCCTCCACACCCCTCCCAGAGCTCGTGGCGAACGTCCAGGCAAGGGGGTGTTCGTCACACTGGCCTATAATGATACTGATATTGCCGATAATGCAGACGATACACAGCATCTTCAGCTCTTCTCTGCATCAAAGCGTTTTTGCGGATTACTATGGCACCACTCTGCACACAATGCTCACAAGAGTTAAAGAGGGGACAGAACCTAGCCTGTGCTGGGTCCTGGCCGTCCCCTCTACATTGTGAAACCCCCTGGCAGCCTGCACACCACTGAACCGCCAGGGAGTGTAATGTCCCCTTCCCTGGCCACAGGTAAATTCAGGGAGGCTGAAATAAAATGAATAAACAATGCAATCCACAAAATATATATATATATATATATATATATATATATATTTGCACACAAACACACTGCATCCACTACACAAACATACACTGCATCCATCACCCACAGTGCATCCACTGCACAAACACACACTGCATCCCCTACCCACAGTGCATCCACTGCACAAACACACACTTCATCCACTATCCACACTGTATTCACTACCACACTACATCCCTTCACACAAACACACACTGCATCCACTACCCACAGTGCATCCGCTGCACAAACACACACTGCATCCACTACCCACAGTGCATCCACTGCACAAACACACACACTTCATTCACTATGCACACTGTATTCACTACCCATACACACATCAGCTGCACACAAACACACACACTGCATCCACTGCACAAACACACACTTCATCCACTATCCACACTGTATTCACTACCCATAAACACTACATCCGCTGCACACACACACACTACACAAACACATACTGTATCCACTAATCACAGTGCATCCACTGCACAAACACATAAAGATTTTTGAAAACAATATATTTTGTGCATTTTCCACTCAATGAAAGAAAGATTTAAAAAAACATAAATAATAAACATGTTCAGTTAACGGCAGATTGGTGTAGAAATAGTTTCACTTTTCAAAATGGTAAATGTACAGAATATCGGTACAAATTATCGGCAGTCAGGCTGAGAGGCCCCAGATTATCGGTATTGGCCCTAAAAAAGCAATATGAGTAGATCCCTAATACACACTTCTGTATGGTACAGCTGTGGAGCTCAGTGATTTATTTGTTTTACTACCATGCTGAATACCATTTGTACCTCGACAGAATACTCCCCAAGATACCTTATTTGTGGTTTATTCACAAAAAAGAAAACTGAAAAAGAGTTAACACGTAAAATGTACATTTTATGCCTACAATATTATAGCTGTGATTGGGATTGATTGGGTAACATGTAATGACATATTGTATGTAATCAAAACCTCTGACATGGTACAACTGTTCTAACCCGATAACAGCAGCAGCAGTAACTACGGTATGTAATTTACACAGTACTGATTCCATTCCGTGATAGGAGATTCTTTTATTTATGTAATTTTTCCCATAATGTTTTTTTCATGTTTTTAAATTCATATAATCAACACTCATAATGCTTTCCAAGAGACTGTAAAAGATTTCTGGGAGATGAGACTGTATAACCTATGGTGATGTCTGTTACTGCTGCTACTCAACTCTCACAGGTTGTATCTAACAGCAGATGGCAGCTACTCAGCCAAGAGTGGTAGATGGGTGTGTGATGGCGTGTGATGCTTTATAAATCGAACTGACTTTAAGCTGCCCTTTGCTGAATAGTCAGTGCATAATAAGCATAGTAGCCAATCAGATAAACAGGCGTCCGCTATGGTCAAGGTGATCTGTACTGTGCCGTTTTTGGTTTCTGCTCTCTATCAAGTGTTTCTATTTATTGTAAAAACAGTGTGCATGGTAATCATTGTGTTACCTGCGTGCAATTTGTTTCATGTACACAATGCCCACGGCTGCCCCACCCTGCCATGTGCAGAGCAGTTATTGGAGTGCGTTAGTAGATGTAAACTGGTAATACAATTAGTAATAGTGTTTATGACATAATGGAAGGTATAATTTTAAGATGAGAGAGACCGATCAGTGCCGACTTTCTGAACGATTTCTGGTTTTACAACTCTCTGGTTATGAAAACTTCATGTCTGAACATTACTTGCTATCATAGAGCAGCAAAAATGTGCTTCCCTTTTTAATGGATTTTTATAATATATGTAAAACCGCACTCACTTCCATCAATTTGAGCCAGGGTGCTTCTGTACTGGAACCAAACACCAGATTCCCAAGTAATAACATAAAAATGAAAATAATTTGTCAAGCCTTGACAAAGACCTCAGGGTCGAAACGTTGCTGTTGTGGTTCCAAATAAAGTGCCTGTCTTGAACCAAGGAGTACCTGGACATCTTTTCATTTTTATGCCTTTTTAATGGAGTGATGCCACCCTTTTAGAAAAAGCAGTGTGCTCTAACTAATATATCTAACTAATATATGTGACAAACCGCCTGGCACCCCGACTGGCTACCTCTGTCAATCGCTGCTTCCTAGTAATGCTTGAGTACCATAAGCACCGCACAGGACACCATAACCACTGTAAACCCCCAAAGCTTCTGCAGCTTGGTTGGGGTCTCGCTGTCCTCCACCCTCCCTGGACCTAAGACCAGGATCCAGCTTCCAGTGGGTAGACCTTTGCTAGTCCAGAGAGGGAAGCAGGCTGCTCTTACAAGAGCAATCGTTGTGATCCAAAGGAGTATAGTGATTATAGCAATCCCCAGAGTGAATATAGCTCTCCAATCCCCCAAACATGAGCCGTCCCCCAGACCTGAGAGTAGACTACAGTAAAAACATATACACAATTACATTGGATCTCAGGTCCAGGACACTCCCATACAAAATAGGTCAAGCCCTCCCTTATGCCTAGGAGATAATTGAGTCAGGACTGTATTAAACTCAATTATCTCCAGGCACAGAAAACACACATTTTTACAAAACCCTCAAAATACCTTAAAACACACAAAATCCCCACAGTTACATCCCCTGAGAGCCCTGGTCTGGGTGACCAACGTATCCAACAATCACCCAGATCAGTTCAGGGTTTCAGGAATTTCCTGGAAGTCATAATTTGATCGACCGCCCCCATGGTATCATGCCCAAAACTGTTCCAGAGAGTCAGGGCTTGCGGTTGGTCTAGTTTGGTAGTAGAAAAAACTAACAAACTACCAAACAGAGTCAATAGTCTTACCTGGAGCTTGATTCTCTTGTTTGTGGGAACGTTTCCACTGAACAGCACCTTTCTAAGTGTTGTATAACCGAACGCTGGCAATGCTGAAAGTCCAGCGTGGTTCGGA